CCCATTTGATCGAACGTCTTGATGTGATCTTACTTACATGTAAATTTGATACTGTCAAGATGGGTTAGGGATATCCATGGCACTCTCACGGTCCCTGTCATCTCCCAATTTCGGATGGTCTGGAATACGGTACTTCCTGTCCAGCTCTCTTCGAGCACAGTCGCACAAAGGAGCGTCTTGTCTAAAGTTGGACAAGTGATCAGTATTACTCGGCTCGCTCGGTCTACCAGGCTTCTTCCTAGGCCATCCAGCACTCCTTTCACTTGCACTGGTCTGCTTTGGCAGGCTAAAGGACCTGCTAAATGCAAGCTTTTCCTTTGGCTTGCGTTCCAGCAGCGTTGTTGAACGACTGATCTTCCGTAAAAGCGTTGTATTGACAGCCACTCAGCCTATCCTTTTTGGGCCCAAGAACTTGAAACGACGAACCACATCCTCCTCAACTGTGTTTGCTCACCAGGTCTGGCACCGTGTCCTATTTCCTTCTGGCTGGCCTGACCTCACTCCTTTCCGTGGTTGCTCACTTCGGTCTTCAGGTTTGGTGGGTGTCTTCTAGGGCCTGCTAGAGCATCTTCGTAAGGGTTTTGACTTCCTAAATCTCCTGGTATCCTAATAGTTGTGGAAGGAGCGGAACCCAAGGTTTTCGACTACTCTCTCTCATCGGTTTCGACAGTTCTGAAGTCCATCATACAGGAAGACCGTATGTGATCATCTGCTGGCGCCGCTGTTTTTGGGCCTGTTGGCAGTATAGTGGGGGTTCTTCTGCCACAAACCACCCTCAATATAGGAGCAGTGTTTTCTTTTTCGTAGTTTAACCTTCATAGTCTTTTCTCTCCTCCTATTTTTCTCCTTGTCCCGTGGCAATATGCTTTTTTCTAATATATTGTTGTGTAATTTTCCCAATTTTTTTTGCGCGTTGGTGAAAAAAATTGACACTGTCAAGAAGTAATCAATGTGCTTGCTGGCACCTAGTTATCCTTTTAATCCACCATGCATGCATGAATGTTATTAAGATGGATGCAACATGCATAGTGGATGACAGATTAATTAACTTGACACTTGGCAGCAATAAGGCAATGCGTAAATCAGCATCAGCAGCTGTGATTGCATGGGTCGATCTTATGATCAGTCTTGCAAGGAAAGGACATCTGCCAGGAAAGTAAAATGCATATCTGCATGACATTAGTTAATTAGATGATGAATTGATGAGTAAATATTATTAACAATAGTCAAGAATGCCCTAGACACATATACACCTCGGTGTCCAGCGAGGCAGTTGTTTGTTCGTTGTGTCAACGCACGTTGACAACATTATAAATAAATGTGATCATGAGTCGTCATAGCCCAACATATTTGGCAAACGAAGAACTAGTACGACATGTGTCATTTTCTAGCTAATTAATGAGAGACCATACGATATTGCGTGCCAATATATACGTGGGAATTTATATACCAGGAAGCAATCTTTGTTGATTGCATACATATATTTCTTAATTACAAAAGTTATAGTACTTCAAATTCCTACATGAGTCAAAACCATCATTGAATTTGAACAAGTATTGCCAGTTTTGAGAGGATTTCAAAGACGGGCTTTCATCTGATTTACAGCAGAGATGAATTGTTAATTAAAGGACAACATTGCTATAGCATTAATTCTTAGGATCCACATACTATATCTCGAATGGGATTAATCAGTGTATATATATGGATGTAGTTACGGTTTTTATTATGAAGTTGTAAGAAAAGTGGAACAAGAAATCAGTACCCAATGACCAACACCATAACTTTGTAGGTCCAACAACCCATTTAAGGGGGAATAATAAGAATTTAGGGGTAAAAAAAATATCCCCTATTTTTTTATCGTGAAAATTATTGTTTTTCAACATAATATTATTTTCCCCCCTTGACTTGACAAGGTTGACAATATTGATCTTGGCATTAATTAGGCCACTGGCACTTTGCTTGATCCTCAACGACCAGACCAGCTAAAAAAACACATGTTGAATAATGGAGCGAAATAAAAAAACCTGGCTTAGTTAGGGAGAAAAAAGAGAAAGTGACAATATATAATACTATTAAAGGTTCATGAGAAAATAAAAATTAAACCGACCTTAGCTCAGTTGGTAGAGCGGAGGACTGTAGTCTGTGCAGATCAATCCGGCAGGTCGGACTCTTTTTTTTCACTTCCTTTTTTTTTTCCTATCGTGTCTGTGGGCTAGCTGGTACCTGGGCCTCCCAACAGTTTTATGTGTTTGGGCCGGCTGATGTCTGGGCCTCGCAGCGATTTCACAGTTGGGCCTCACGCTACTACGCCTAGAATTTATTTTTATTTTTACATTTTTTATTAAAATATTTAAATTATTTTTTATTAAAATATTTAAAAAATAATTTTTTGTTTTGAAAATTTACAAATCTAGTTGTCTCTTGCCCTCTGGGAGGACGCCCTCCCAGAGGGCGATAACGGACCTAAATGCAAATTTTTTATTTGTGTTCAAACACTTTCTACCGGTTTTAATTGCATAAAAACTAATAATTCTTATTCGACACTCCAAATTATTTTAAATGGAAAAATGATAAATAACAAAGTTGTAGATCTCGTTCATCTCCATCCGATGTCGTTTGAAATGTTGATCTGAGATTTTTTTAAATAGGTTTTATATTTTGTAACGAATATTTGGATATCTAAAAGATCTTAAATGAAAACGTTGTTAACTACAAAGTTGTAGATCTCCTCGAGCTCTATAATTTTGATATAAAGTTTTATTTCATTTGACTTTATATAATATAATTTTAAATAAATCATAGAGCTAACAAGTTGTGCTGAAAAATTTATATTTAGTTCGCCTTCCCAAAGGGCGATAAGCGACTAGATTTGTAAATTTTCAAAAAAAAAGTAAATATTTTAATAAAAAATGTATAAATAAAAAATTCCTACACCTACGCCATGGCATGGAACAATTATTTTCTTTTCTTTTTTAAAACACAGTACACGTTCACGGTGCACACTTACCCTATAAATATATGAGAACATATCATATGCACACAAACTTCCCGCGCACAACTACAAGCAAATGTCATAGAAAATTTTTTTAAAAAAATTGGACGCATACTTTCCATAGTATTAAACATACCTGTGAAATTTTATATTTAAATTCATTATATTTTAGCCGTATTTTAATTTTTTGTTACGGCTAAAATATAATGAATTTGAATACGAAATTTTACAGATATATGTAATACTATTAGAAGTAAATGGCAATTTTTTTTAGAATTTTTCATGATATTTGTTAGTTGGTGTACACGGAATGTGTATGAAAGGCTTATGTGCATAGCATATATTCCCTATAAATATACACTATAAAATTAGCGAACACTTGCTAATCTAGCTCACGAAGAGTTCTTTTTTAGGCAACATATATCTGTACTAATTATTAGAGATTATTTGGAGCGTAGGATTATTTACCTTTAAATCTGCATGCCTAAAGAGTTATTGAAATAAATTATTTTTGTTATGTCTGTACTTGTTGTCTAATAGTGATTCCTTTTATAGAAATGTAGGATATTAAAATGGTTAACTTACATGTTTCTAATTTTAACCTGGCACACATTGTACTTACTAGATCATTTCTTCCTGACATTTGCATCTGTTACAGTTGCAAGCCCATGTCAAAAGGTAAAGGCCCAACACGGCTTGATGGACCAGTTCAGCTCGAGAGTTACGCTAGCGGGGACGAAACAGAGTGCGGAGCGACACGCATCAACAGGGCTGGTGGATAGGTGGACCGCTAAAAACATAACGGAATTGCTAAGCATCTGTCGACAGAAAATGCATGCCTAAATCTTACAAATTTTGAATCACCGGATGTGCTTCGCTATTCGTGTTCCAGGTGCTTTTTCTCCAACTCCGGCGGCTTCCTCTTCTTCTCCGGCGCCGGCGAATTAAGGTCCCGGGGTGGGGTGGGGTGGGGTGGGGGTGGGAGGGGAAGAAGGGGGAGGTGGCCGGGCTTAGAGGGATGGACATGGGAGGCGGCGGCCCGGCGGTGGGCAGCGAGGCGCTGACGGCGGCGCCAGAGTCGTGGGGATGGAGGATGGCGGTGAGCCGGCGTTGGCGGCGGGGGCATCTCGCCGCCAGTGGCTAGAGGAGGGAGGAGAGGGGAGGGGGAGGAGGTCGGCCGGGGGGGCCTCGCCAGCGCCGTTAACGCCTTCCGGCCAGCCGGCGAGGCTGGGCGGCAGCACGCTGGGGTGGCGGCGGTGGAGGCGGTGGCATAGCACGGATCGCACGAGCGCTAGGAGTGGCGGCGTGGTGTTGGGAGGAAGGGAGAGGAGGAGATTTTTAGGATTTGTTTCTCTGCACGAATCTTAAAGCAATCGGATAGTCCAGAATTTGTAATATTTTTAGAAGGGTTTTCTGGCAAATGATATATAGACAATTCCAAAAAATAATTAGCCGTAAAAGCGACACCTATATCAAATCTACGAAGAATATATTACCAGTTGAATTACACTCTCACTTCGCAGGACACACGGTTTTCGTCCTAGCTAAGCTTGAGCCGTTGGAGTTAGAATCCTCTTCTCACTCTCCTTTCTCACACACGCTGGTTAGTTTTGGTTCCATCTCACATACTCCCTCCATCTTAAAGTATAAAAATCTATAAGTATCAAATTAGACTATCCATAGTAATACGAATTTGAAAGTATCGGACCGTCTAAGTTCATAGTACTATGAAGAGTCTAATCCGATATAGTTTCTCAGCCTACAAACGTTCTAGAGTCCCCTTATTTATACAAGTGCAAACCATTCATTGCTAGCGCTTTCACTAGTGATTGCCTGTTGGCTGTTGACGATCATAAAAAGTGATCGATCATCGGGAAACTTTATTAATTGATCGTGCGCATTCCCGCCACTGCATATCAATGTTTACATGCATAGACTCAAATAGTCATTCTGTGCTCTATTGCATATTGTTATACTGGTTTTCAAGGGTTAGTGATCACAACAGATATGATAACTACTCTTGGCAGAGATAGATATGGCACATGTGTCATGTGTAGTGCTGTTAATTACTAAGTATTACAAATGGCATTGACCAAGACTTTGACTTCCTTGCATGATTAATCCCCACCCATCTAATCATTGTAATCAGGTAGTGCCTACCTAGGCTAGCTTCAACCTTTCCCAATTGCTCTGTGCTGCAGCTGCTATGCTAATTACAACCATCAAGAAGATCAGAGGAAACCTCAAAAAAATCCCCAAGAAATTGCAATTATGTCAAGAGAGATATGTCCCTCTTTCTCTAAGATCGTCTGATCAATTGCATGGTCGATCAGTTACCAACATACAAGTCAACCAATTAACCGAAGATGGTGCTGCACACGACCGGCGCCACCGTTCAGTCGTCGGCGTCGGACGCCGGAGCGAAGCGCCCGCCGAAGAGGAGCCCGTCGAGCCCCCTCGCCGCCGCGGCCGCCGCCGGGCGCACGGAGCGCGGGACGCCGTCGTAGGCGGTGGAGACCAGCACGAGGATGGCGCCCGTCACGAGCAGGGCGTTCGCGCCGAGAAGCTGCGACGGCGACGGCGGCGCAGCCGTTCTGGGGCCGAGGAGCAGGCGGGAGCCGGCCAGGAAGAGCAGCGCGTGGAACCCCGTCCACCGTAGCCGCGCCCGCGAGCGGTCGACGACGCGCGCGGCCGGCGAGGGCGCCACGGCGCGGAGCCAGTGGCGGTGGCGGTTGCCGCCCATGGAGAGGTGGACGGTGGCGCAGCCGAGAAGCAGGAGAAGCAAGAGGAGGACGGCGCGCGCCTTGGCGTACTCGGGCGGGAGGCCGACGAGGGCGGACGCCGCGGCGAGGACGGCGTGCGCGCCGTTCCTCCGGTTGGCCGCCGCCACGTTCGGCTCGTCGCGGCCGTCGACGCCGGACGGCTGAGCGTGCGTGGCGGCCGCCATCGATCAGTGACGCCGACACACTGACACTCGTGTACTATATAGAGGTTGCGACAGCGCGTGGCCAATGGCGGATCGCGCCGTGGTCTACTTGGCTTGAAGATGGCTTCGGATGCAAGGCATGCAGTTCATCATGATTAACAAGACGATTAACATGTACGGCTTATTTTGAGTTTTCTTTTACTTGGCCGGCTGAATCCTGCATGCCGCCACGCTGGATCGATTGCTCCTTATCTCTTGCTGCTACTCTTACTTATAGTACGTTGGAGTGACGACGACCGGTCGGTGCGCGCCATGATCTGCTTCTAGACGAACTGACGTATGGTGTTCAAAACGAATTTTCGTTCTAGGATACACGATATATTCCGCTAGATTCGGACAGGAAAGATTCGCAATTCTTCCTCGTTTCCGTGTACCGTTGCCTCGCCGGCTCACCGACCGACGAGCAGGGACCATGCTCACCTGCGGGCAGCCGGCCGCGACACGCCGCTCGACATGGTGAACGTGCAGCGCTCTGCCCGCGCGCACGGCACCTAGCAGCTGATCCCGGCGAGCGGCTTGTCGTCGGCGGCCTCTGCGTCGCGCTCGCCGCGGAGAGAGGGGCTCCGGCACAAAGGTCGCCGGCTCGCCGGCGGTGTCCATGCTGGTGAGTGTGGTTGCTCTTTTTAAAATTTTAGGCCCAAACCAATAACGAGTATGGCTATTTTAGATGAGAATACGTTTATTTTAGGCAAGTCATGTTGATGTTAAGCTCGACTAGTATGAGGATTTCGATTTTGCTAAAGGACGTGTCTACAACGACACCGTTCTCCATATGGTCATAACCAGCTACCTCAATCTACTACTACTATACTTAAAAGTGCATGCATTTTTTTCTTCTTATGAAATTTTCTCTTAGATTACCTATCCGATTTACGATCCGATTACACCATTGTGTTCATAACAGTTAAATCTTTATAACAAGATCTCACATGACTATATTTTTATAAAAAAATAGAAATTACTTTTATAATATATCTAAATTACTTTTAGATTTCATTAAATTACTTCTTAGTCATAAAAGTAATTTAATAAAGACTGAAAGTAATTTACCTATATTATATAAATAATATAAGTAACTTAAAACAAAAGCGAAGTAACTTGTCACGGCATTAAAAGAAATATATACATTCAAGTTGTGAGTTATTTATTTTATAATCATTTTTAGTCAATGATGTAATTTATGCTGATTAAATTTAATTTCTATATAGACTCATGTTTTTACCTCCATAACTTTTAATGTCGTGATAAAGTTACTTTCTTTTTTTCTAACTTACTTCTATAATATATGTAAATTACTTTTTGGCTTTATTGAATTTACTTTTATAGGTTTAAGAAGTAATTTAGTAAAATCTAAAAGTAATTTAGATATATTATAAAAGTAATTTCTAATTTTTCATCAAAATATAATCATGTGAGATCTTGTTATGAAGATTCAATTTTTACGAACACAACGGTGTAATCGGATCGTAGATCGGATTATTAAGAGAAAATTATTTTTTAAGCCGGCGTAGCGTAGAGCATCACATGGTTTACAATTTAGATTCCTCTGGATGATGCCACGTCCGTGAATCACCCGGCCATGTACGGACGCACCAATGCTTGTGGGATCAGACAGCCGATGAGCGTGTTGCGCGATAAGGTAAAACAGAGAGCGCGCACAAATTAGATTTTACCTTTACTAAACTTTGTCGCGTGATTTCTCGTCGGAAATTTGACGTTTTTCTGGCCGACAAATGGATAGGCAGTTCCCATCGATCTGTGTAACAGAGATGCATTCCATGATTCCGAGAGCGAAGTTCATGATCTGTGCAAAAGTGGGCTTTCATCTGTTTCACCGTTAATTGCCCGGCGGAACTAAAATATTTTTAGTATCAGTAAAGTAAGTAACACTTCAAAAGTTCATATGACCGCGTGGCCTAATGGATAAGGCGCTCGCCTCCGGAGCGGGAGATTGTGGGTTCGAGTCCCATCGTGGTCGCTAAATTTTAGTTTGTTTTCTTATTACTCTGCTCGGTTTTTAAATAAGTATTTGAGGGAAATTTTAGTTTGTTTTCTTATTATACTCTGCTCGGTTTTTAAATAAATATTTGAGGGACTTGATTTTTTTAAAATATATTTGACCATTCGTCTTATTTAAAAAGTTATTTTATCATTTGATTTATTGTTAAATATACTTTTATGTATATATATAGTTTATATAATTGTTAAACATACGCTAAAAAGTCAACGGTGTTAAATATTTGAAAACAGAGAGACGATCATGCTTTTAAATCTTGTTAGATTAGATGTGTGCTAGGATAAACCCATCGTTTTGGTGAGGGGCGAGTGCCTGTTCTGTATGGTGCATATATAGGAATTGCACTAAAATAATTTATACTCGTTATATGTGATGCTAGCTAGGCTTCTATGTTCTAATCTTGTTAGATCTGTGCGAGGATAAACCCATGTAGTGGAAAGTACTTCCTCTATTTTCTAAGCGTACGACACATTGATTTTAACATAATGTGTTGGAAATATAGTCATGTATCGGTATATTTTAATCCAAAATATTAAGACAATAATCATGGCATGAATAATGTGGGGTGATCTAGTGATAAAATCTAATATAACCAAGAGCATGCTTAAGATATAATAAGCATCATCATCATACAAAGAACGCAATTGAAATGCGACTAACAGAGATATGAAAAATTGAAATATCAGTAAGCAAAGGTTATACCATGTGAATGTCCCTCCGCTAGATTGTGAAGCAGAACTGCCTCCGTTGATGTTGTTGTTCGCAGCGGCTCCGGCTCCCGGTGCGCCATCTCCAGGTGCGGCAGCAGCAGCAGTGGCGGAAGACATGGTGTAGCAGACGACGACGACGAACAGAAGACGAGGAGCAGTCGTGCGGAAGCATTCCCCTAAAACCTGATCACCCGCCTACCTGGTGCAGATCTCAGGCGAAGGTGTGGTTCCGGAGGCCCTGCTCGTTCCGATCTCTCGTGCGCGCAAGCAATGAGAAGCGGGGAAGCAGAATAGTGGCAGCACCACGCGCGCGCGCGGAGGAGGAAGACACCAGATGGAAAATAAGCGGCGGAATTTGATCGGATTAGCTCTTTCCTTATAGCGCAGGAGCGATATCCGGTCGTTGCCGCAGTAACGACGTGAGATCAATTAGAATTGAATCGCCTGCCCGTTACGGAGGCAATCTCGGGATTGGTCCCCTTGCCCTCGCCCCGGCCGGCCGGCTCGGCGCGCGCGCGCGAGTGTGGCTTTCCGATCCCCACCTCAACCGGTCAACAAGGAGCCTCCAATAACTCCCTATTCATGTTGAGATACTACTCGTTTAATTCCCAAGGTGGTATTATTATCCTTAATATTTATTATGGGCCTTTGAGATTTAATAGAATAAATCGGGCCTAGCCCATTTATTCTAACAATCCCCACCAAATTTCATGGCTCATAAGAAATGTTCTCAAAGTTATGTCTGTTTGATATACTAGTGTTTTGGTGGAGACCGTTAAGTTGAACTTCCACCTAGGAAATGAGCTACATTAGACCACAATTGAACAATGGACTATGCCTTGAATTGTCAGTCTTGTGTGATCAGGTTTCAGTCAAACCCTTGACTGGTACTGGGCTGCCGTTCGCATCCCCTCTATTTGAAGCATATAAGTCAAACTCCAGGCCCTTTCATGAGTATCTAGAGATCGCCCAAATCTCATAGACTGTAACTAGCAGTCGAACTCATATAGGTGTGTTCCTGCTGAGATGTTCTGCAGATCAACATCTCTACTTAGAAAAGCTACTCGGATCACATTAAGGCATAAGCCATCCTACCATGCAGAAAAGAAGAGAAGTAAATCATGAAAATGAGCCCTTTTCAAGGGTCTCTTCTCTCAGCCACACAATAGTTTGTTTCGCCATCCAAATTCACGGGATCTCCGATCACAATGGACAGGTTTCCACTATTGTGCAACCTTAGGTGGATATCAAGCCCATTCCCCTCGATGTACTGTCTATCACATTACATGGTAGCCCCTTGGTAAACTGATCTGTCAGATTTTTAGCCGTTTGGGCATAGTCCAATGCTATCACTCCGGAGTTTTTCTGCTTTCTGACAGATTTCGGTCTTCTCTTGATATTACTAGATGACTTCATGTTGTCCTTTGAACTGTTCACTTTAATAATTATTGTTTGATTATCATAGTTCATTAGGATAGCTGGCACTGGTTTTTCAACCATTGGCAAATCCATCAGGAGTTCACGAAGCCACTCGGCCTCAACTGTCATAGTATCTAGTGCTGTAAGTTCTGCTTCTATTGTTGACCTCGTTAAGATGGTCTGCTTGCAAGACTTCCAGGAAACAACGCCACCTCCAAGTGTGAACACATATCCACTTGTGGCTTTTATCTCATCAGCATCAGATATCCAGTTTGAGTCACTGTACCCTTCTAGTACTTTTGGGTTCCCGATATAGTGAACTCCATAGCTCATAGTGCCCTTTAGATAGCGCATTACTCTTTCCAGAGCCTGCCAATGATCATCTCCCGGATTTGAGACAAACCGGCTCAGCTTGCTTACGGCAAATGAGATGTCAGGCCTCGATGCACTAGCCAAGTACATCAATGAACCAATGATTTGAGAGTATCTCAGTTGATCCCTTGCTATTCTTCGGTTTTTCCTTAATAGCACGCTGGGATCATAAGGAGTAGGAGCTGGCTTGCAGTCACTATATCCAAAACGACTCAAAACCTTGTCCACATAGTGGGATTGCACAAGTGTAATCCCACCCTCATCTCCTCTTAGTAGCTTAATGTTAAGAATAACATCAGCCTCTCCCAAATCCTTCATTTCAAAACTCTTGGACAGAAAGTTCTTGACCTCCTCAATCACATTGAGACTGGTCCCAAAGATCAATATGTCATCGACATATAAGCACAAGATCAATCCTTCTCCCCCACCATAGCGATAGTACACACATTTGTCAGTTTCGTTCACAACAAAGCCAGCAGATGTAAGTGTGGTCTCAAACTTCTCATGCCATTGCTTAGGTGCTTGCTTAAGGCCATACAAGGATTTCAACAGTTTACACACCATTCCCTCCTGACCTTCTAGTACATACCCGTCTGGTTGATCCATATAGATCTCCTTCTCCAGCTCTCCGTTTAGGAAAGCTGTCTTAACGTCCATCTGATGGATGAGAAGACCATGAGAGGCTGCCAGAGCGAGTAGTACTCGAATGTGGTCAAGCGGGCAACTGGTGAGTATGTGTCAAAAAAAATACTTGCCTTCCTTTTGGGTATAACCCTTGGCCACAATCCTTGCCTTGTACTTTTCAATTGTACCATAAGGCCTAAGGTTTTTCTTGAAAACCCATTTGCATCCTACAGGCTTGCACCCATATGGACGCTCAACAACTTCCCAAGTACCATTAGACATAATCGAGTCCATCTCACTACGTACTGCTTCCTTCCAGTAGTCAGCGTCAGGAGATGAATATGCCTCTTCTATGGTTCATGGAGTGTCATCCACGAGGTATACAATGTAGTCATCTCCAAAGGATTTTGCAACCCTTTGTCGCTTACTCTTACGAGTATCTACAATGTTATCCTCCTCAGGATTTCCCTCAGGCGTTTGATCATTGTGTTCTATCGGTGCAAAGTGCTCATTGGGTATGACAGTTTCTTGACTAGAAGTGCTAGGTGTATTTTTCATGGGAAATTCATTCTCAAAGAATGTAGCATCTCTGGACTCAATAATTGTACCAACACGCATGTCGGGTACTCTAGAGTTTACTATTAAGAATCTATAACCCACGCTGTGAATAGCATAACCAAGAAACACACAATCA